CGGGGCGGGGCGGGGCGGTCGGGGTGGGGCGACGCGGTCTGCATTACGGGCCCGGCTCCACGCTGATGGCCTCTAGGACGGTAACGTCAGCATCAATTAAAAGCCGGCCTAATCACGTCGAGGGGCGGGGCGGGGCGGGGCGTGGCGAGGCGGGGCTCGGCGTATGCGACACTGTCACCGCACCACTACCCGGTACACCGCGCCGCGGAAGCTTCCCTTCTAATTAAACGGCTTGATTGGGGCATACGCAAGAGGGAAGGGTTCAAGCAGCCTCCTTGCGAGGAATTCTTTAAATACAGGCTTAAATGACTACGAAAACTATTTAAAAAATTTAAAAAAAAACTGCGGCGTAGAAAGAGGGAAAAGGAATCTCATGTTAGGTGTGCCATAAGTGTCTGTCGGTATGCACTAATAAGCTCGCGCTTAGTTTGTCCTCGTGGCTGTTCGGGACTGGCTGGCTGGCCGGACCCAACCCTTCACTGCTAATGGCGCATGAAGTGTTTTAGTCGAGGCACCATACGGTCATGAGACGGGCCATCGAAGCCCGGGCCAGGCATGTCAGTCCGTCTCCATCTCCAGCCGTCCCCGCGCTACAAATTGGGGTTCATGAATCGACCGATAAATTAGTGGGTTAATCTGCCATTACCATCGCATTGCACGCGGCTGGGTTAAGAGAGGCATTAGTCTCAGCGTCACCATCAGAGAGCCGCGCGGGCCGCTCCGATCGGTCAACACACGCACGCACGCACGCACACGCACACACACACACACACACACACACACACACACACACACACACACACACGCGCGCCTTGAGGAATCCGCAGCACCAGCAGTTTACGACAGACAGCTTAGTACTCGTCCGCTCGTCCGGTCCCCATTTGGTCTCTTCGGAGAGAAAGAAAGAAAGGGGAATTAGAAAGGGACAGATAGTTTGGTGAGATATGGAGGGAAGAGCGGTGTCGAACCGCGGACCTTGCCTTTCTACGCTGCGAGAGTGCGCTCGGCGACACCACCTACCGCAGCGTGCCGCAGCCAGCGGCAGAACTGAGTGACGCACTTGACGGCCACTTTTGCCGCTGCCGGGACGCGAACCCGCGCCTCCGCCGACTGGCCACTACTGCCCCACACAGTCAAATGCCGCCGTTTGCCTCCCTCTCGCGGACATCGCGTGACGCGGGAGAGAGACAGGGCATCACGAGGACGAGGCCGTAATAGAGACATAACGCAGCGGATGCAAATGATACTCCAAGACCGGCTTCGTGTCCAACAAGCATTATGGGGTGTAGCGCTCCGAGCAGGAAGCAGCGAAGCAGCCATGTCGCTGTATCGGCCCGGCCCGGCAGGCTGTCTGGCCCCCCTCCTCCGGAGGCAGGAAAGAGGTAGAGTGTACGCTAATGCGACGGAGACAGTCCCGCTACCGCACACCTACACATGCACACACACACACACACACACACGAACACACACACACACGCACCAACACAGACGCGCGTCCACACAAACACACACAGGATAGCTGCTAATTGCAGGTGTTTCACCGAGAAAATTACACCCCCAAAAGTCCGCAGCCGCGACGGCGGGTAATTCATTATTTTTTCATTAGACCGTCCCGCAGCGCCCCGCGGTGCCCCGGAGCGCCGCAGCCCCGCGGCCACCGCGGTCGCCCTTTTCAATTGCGCCTTTTCCACTATTCGGCATGTAATTGCTGCCCACTGCTCTAATCGTTATACTGGTGTGTGTGTGTGTGTTTGCTCTGCCCTCCACGGCGTGAAACAGAACGCTCCATTATTTTCGGGTGTTTTGTCTTTTTTTTGTGGTGTAGCCGCGTAGCCGCGCGTCGCGTGCAAGAAGCGCTCAAGGCCCTCTGCCTGTGTCGCAGTGTCGCATAGGCAGCTAGGCGGCCGGCGCGGCCACACGGCTAGGCAGCTGCAGGGGCTCATTAACATCCATCTCGACTCCACTGCCAACCCGAATTCCCCCGCAGGAAACACAAAGTTTTCGCAAGACGAATTTCCGTTTCGCCTCCAGAAGCGAGAGCAAACTTCATTCATTTAGTTCGGCGCCGCCGACGCCGTGTGTAGTGGGGCACCGATTTCATGGAAGCTGGGGGGGGGGGGGGAGAGAGAGGTGTGTGCGAGAGGCGGGTGCGCGTTCTGGGTGGCTCTGCCAACTACTGCGCGCGCTCCTGCTCACACACACACACACGCGCACACACGCACGCACGCACACCTCCCCACACTATGCTCACTGCACTCATTATGACAATTAGAAAATCATTAACGCCGACACTGGGCGGCACCGGAACCCCTTCCCTCTGTCGGCCCGGCCCTTGCGGCCCTGGGCCCTTTCGGCATGCGGCAGGCAAAACGAGATCTTTAGAGAGGAGGAAAGAAACCGGACGAAACCCTTTCGGGACATAGAGCGGTCAAGCCGGGAGACGCAGAGGCTAGCACACATACACACACACACATGCACACAGCGCAGGTGCGCCTCATACGTCAGTCAACCGGCAACAGTTAGCTAGATGTTTCTATTATTTACCACTTTTTCTCCGTTCGAGTGCGGAGTGCGTGTCATGAGGCCACTTTTTTGGCACTCGTTGCACGGAGGCCAGGCAGGCCACTCAGCCGAAGGTGTGTGATACGCCACGCCACTGTACAGAGATTGACACTGGCCGTGGCGTGTGTGGCAGAGTGACACATTGAGGCAAAGCCGCGGGCCCGGCCGGGCCGAGCCAAGCATGGCCATGGCGGCAACGCGCAGCGCCGCGCGCGGAAGCAAGAATTAGTGGTTATTGTCCAGAACTGGCACGCCAACGCGCCGCGGCGGCGGCCTGGCTTGCCGCGGCTCGGGCCGTCCTCCATGCAGATGACCACGACGACCACGTGCCGCCGACGTCGCCGTCCTGGACGTCCCGGCGTCCGTCCCGGCGTCCGTCCCGGCGTCCGTCCCGGCGTCCGTCCCGGCGTCCGTCCCGGCGTCCGTCCCGGCGTCCGTCCCGGCGTCCGTCCCGGCGTCCGTCCCGGCGTCCGTCCCGGCGTCCGTCCCGGCGTCCGTCCCGGCGTCCGTCCCGGCGTCCGTCCCGGCGTCCGTCCCGGCGTCCGTCCCGGCGTCCGTCCCGGCGTCCGTCCCGGCGTCCGTCCCGACGTCCGCGGAGTTGGCGGCCATTACCAGAGCGCCGCTGATTTACTGCCGGCTTTGTCGCGTCGTCCGCGACCCTCACGCCGTCGACGGCCAGTCCGGCCGGGGGCGGAAGGCAGGGCACGACGCCGAGCTCGGTCAGCCCCAGCGCGCGGTCCAGCGGCCCAGCCCGGCTAGCCCGTCGTAAATATGTATATACTGCCGTGCGCGGCACACGGCGGCCGGCGGGGTCCTTGGTCCTGGCTATGGCACCTCCGGGACCCGCGGGACCTCGGCGGGCAGCGCGAGCGCGGGGGTGCGCGGCGTGGTGTTGTGTTTGAGGCGCGGCGGCGCGGCGGCACGGCGGCGCGGCGGGGATTTGGGGTGGAGGTGAAAAGTGGAGCGGGGAAGTGATGGAGTCACCCGGAAGGCAGGCGCAGTCCATTCCGGTCCGAGGGTGGCCGCGTCCTGGTTACTTCGAAAACGAAAAAAGGGAAAACCAAGAAGAAGAAATCGAATGCCTTTGGAGAGACTGAGACACGGGAAGGCGACAATGAGGACCGGGCGCCGCCGTTGAACCGCAGAGTGTGGCTGATACGACTGGCGGCTAGTCGTCCGACAGGCCGTCAGGCTTGCCGTCAGGCTTTCCGTCAGGCTTGCCGTCAGGCTTGCCGTCAGGCCGCACCGCCACCTCTGCCATTGCTTCCCTCGCATTTCGGTCGCCTTCTTATCTCCTCGATTCGGCGTGGCTGCGGCCGCCCCTCTCCACCTCCAGAACCATTTCTCGTTGACGTCCTATCGGAGATCCGTAGCGTAGCGGATAGCGCGGCGAACTTCTGTTCGGGTGGTTGGCGGTTCGATCCCAGTCAGGGCAATTTATTTTTCTCGCTCGAATTATTATGGTTTTATTCTCGCTGAGGGTGGGTCATTTCTGTACCGACGGACGAGGGTTCAAACCACCGGACATCACTTTTTTTTCAGGCGCGGCCTACGGGGCGCGTTCCCCAGGCCAGGCTAGTCGTACGCGATTTTGCAAGAGATGCGCCGTTGCGCCGAACTGCGTACGGTGTCGTTACCCGGGGCAGCCGCGCATACCAACACGGCCAACACCGGGTACCCGGTCATCAAAGCGGCGTTTGGGAAAACAATTATTGCCTACCGAAAAAGGAACAAGATCGACATCACATACACTGGCTCTAAGTGTTATTATGATAATTACTATCGCGCGTCTCGCGCGCCGTGGCGGGGCGGGGCGGGGCGGGGCGGGCGCAACGGAAACCCATTTCGCACCGCGGTCCGGAAGCAGGCAGGCCGGGCCAGTGCAGTTGCGCACGGCTTCGACATGTGTCGCCGCCATCAAGATTTAACTACTCATTATTTAAAGCAGCCGCGCGATGTCAACGATACGAGGCCAGGAAGGAGATCGGGTTGACAGTGCCTCCGTCTGCCCGCCTGCCCGTCCGTCTGTCCGTCCGTCTGTCCGTCCGTCTGCCCGCGTCATGCACACGGTACACCGATACGCCACCTCGGATTTGGGCCGCCGGCCGGCCAACACGGCCAACACGCAGCCTGGGTAAAATATTTAAAGCCGGCCCCCGCCCCGCTCCGCTCTGCTCCCCCCGGCCGCCCGGACGGACACCTGCGATGCCGTGTGGTCTGTGTGGGCCTGTGTGCACAAACGCGATATGATTACATTTGAGGCATACGTCGCTCACGCAAAGGTCAGCGTGCTCACACACACGCACACACAGGCAGGTCACAGACAGGTCGTCAGGCGGTCGAAGGGTGGCGGGAGCGGCGCCGAAGCAGCCGAGTCGCCATAAGGCCGTGCCCGCTCGAGGAGACACTTGAAAAATGATGGTCTCCTGAAGCATCCTGTCTCTGGAGCGCAGAGGATAGCGCGTCGGACTTCTAATCCGAAGGTCGCGGGTTCGATCCCCGCTGGGGATGCGTTTCTTTTTATGATGCCTCCACTGTTAGAGAGCGTGACTTTAGTGCGGTCGTAAGACTTGCTTCTCAACATGTATTTTCCGATCGGATAGGCGCGGGTTCGATCCTCACCATGCGCTTCGACGTATTTTCTTAGCCATTATTTTTTTTTTTTGGCCGCGCTTCTGGCTCGGCTGACCGCAAGTCGACCGCACGTAGGGTGGCAGGGGTGCGCAGGGCTCGGGGGACACGTCGTTGGCCGACATTCAAATTGCGCTGCTGCAATATTCAACCGGCCGCAGCCGCAGCGCTTCCGCTGTCCGGCCGGCACCAGGCAGGCAGGCCGGCGGCACACAGTGGGCCAGAAGCCGGTGGAGGCGGCCAAAACTCTAGACGCGTTTCGAGCTCCAGAGTCGCCAAATGGGACTCGAACCGAAAGTGTGACCCCACCAATAGATAGCTCTCCTAACGAGGAATCCATTGGTGGGGTCACATCTTCGGTTCGAGTCCCATTTAGCGACTCTGGAGCTCAAAACGTGTCTAGAGTTTTGGCCGCCTCCACCGGCTTCTGGCCCACTGTGCGGCAGGCAGGGCACCCGCCAGCGTAGGCCGCCCGGGCCGCAGCGGCGCGTGGAGCGACTGCCGGTTGCCTGCCACGCGCGGCGCCGTGCCGCCGTGCCGCCGTGCCGCCACAGCGACCAGCCTCTCTCGCCAGCGCGGCGGTCCAGCTCGAATATTCACGACCCATGCATGCGCGGCGCGCTGCTCGCCACGCCCTCGAGTGGCCGCCGCTGCTGCAGTGGGGTGCGATGCCGATTCTCGGAAGGTAAGTGTGTGTGAATTTTATATATTAGTCCGGGCAGGCGTGGCGCCCTGCGCGCGCAGGCAGGCCGCCGTAAATGGATTATACGAGGTGGGATGGCTCCGTGTTTTATCGCCCTTTATCGCGTGCCTTACTTCTGCTTCATTCCCCTCCCCCCGCGGCCGTTACGGGCGTCAGATAAACGCCCTTTCTCACCCTGCAGGCCCCGCAGGCCCTCGCCGCGCTGCCCTTCATTTCACTCGGCCCTTGGGCCCTTCGTTAGGGCCGCACCGGCCGCGCCATGCCACGTCGCTTCGCTTTTCAGTGGAAACCAAAGCGGTGCCACGATTTAGCGGCAGGACGCGCCACCATTGTCTCCGCAGCCTCCCGCAGTCCGCGGTCCTGGACGGCGGCCAACGCGGCCCGTCATAAAAACGGCCGAGGAAACTTCGGAGGCGATTCCCCGCCGGCCGTCCGTCTTTGGTTGCCGGAGTCGCCGGGCCGCACGCGTCGCGCACAGTGGGCCAGAAACCGGCGGAGGCGGCCAAAATTCGAGACGCGTTTTGAGCTCTAGAGTCGCTAAATGGGACTCGAACCGACCGTGTGACCCCACCAATGGATTGCTCTCAGGACGAGGAATCCATTGGTGGGGTCACACGTTCGGTTCGAGGCCTGTTTAGCGACTCTGGAGCTCAAAACGCGTCTAGAGTTTTGGCCGCCTCCGCCGGTCTTCTGGCCCACTGTGCGCGAGGCCAAGCCGCGGCCACCCGAGCGACGGCGTGCGCGGTTCCAACGCCAAACGGCGCCACACTTCAGCCCCCGCCCCGCACCTTGACGTCGGCGGCGGCGTCCAGCGGCGCGCGGCGGTCGACGTGGTCAGCACGCTTATCTCGGCGGCCCAGGCGGCCAGGCCTCGGCAGCCTCTGGGCGGCAGGGGCTGTGCGGGGCGGGGAGGCAGTCGCGCACAATATGCCAGTGCGGCCGTGCGGACGCCCTACAGCTCCAGAAGGCCCCCGCCGAGGCCCCCACCCCGCGCCGCCCCGCCCCGCCCCGCGCGCAGCCAGGGGGAAGCATCCGCGTCTATACACTTTCCGCAAAGTCGGTTTTCTTCTCTCTGCATTTCGGCGCCGCGACACTGTCAACCACGCCGAGCCCGCCGGACAGGTGGGCAGGCGCTGTCACACTGTCGAGCGCCCCTCTGGACAGTAAAATCTGGCGGCCGTCGAAATGAGGACCTCCCCGTCGTCGGCCAGCCCCTTTATTGACACGTCCAGCATGCGTATTTGATGGCATTGCCCCGGCACTGCCCTGGCACTGCCCCGGGCGTGCACCTATCACGTGACGCCGAGCACCGGCTGGCCCGGGCCGTGCTGACCACGCCGTCGACATCGCCGAGGACATTGTCGAGGCCCTCATAAAGGCCCTATAAAGCGCTGCCTGGCGTGCTCCGCGGCGGGGTGACACGGCGGCAGCGCGGCAGCAGATGTGGCGGCACGGTGAAGCCATCACTGCAGCATGGCGCCTCCCCCTCCCCCTCTCCAAGACTCGTTTATCACTTATTCACGCAAAGGGCAGCGCGAGGGCGCCGGGGTGCGGGCGAAGGGCCGCTGGTACACGGAGGGGCGCTTTGAATTTCGTTTCGGAAGCGTTTTGAATTTTAAAACGCGTCCGGCGGACGGCTGGGTCCTGGGTCCTGGGTCCTGGGGTACGAGAAGCGGGCGGAGTGCAAACGGGGCAACAGGGGCATTGCGCGGTGCGCGGCGCGTATACAGTGCACGGTGCCACTCGGCGGCGGTGCGTACGTCTTGCTGCTCCGGAATGGACGTATACAGGCGAACATAGTCTGGGGGCGGGAAAAAAAGCGGCACAAGAAAAGGCCAAGCCAACCCGCGCGCCGCACCATGTACACAAATCCCGGACGCGTAGTAAAAGTTTGCGAACCGGCCGCAGCAGCGCAGCCAGCGAGCCGTGCGGCCGAGAGCGCAGCGCGCAGCGCGGAGTACGTAAACGCCGCCTCGGCGTGGCGGCAGTTTTCCGCGCAAACACACAAACTCACTCACACACACACACACACACACACACACACACACACACACACGCACACACGGCAACAACACGGCGATAACGAAACCGGAGCGGAACAATGAAAAACGAAAATACTGCCCATTAAATTTCAATCGACGCGCGCGACGCGATACGCCACCTGCCCGGTCGTATAGCACCACGCCCCGCCCCGCGACCGCGCCCCGCCCCGCCCCGCCCCGGCCGTCGGTGCACACGACAACACGCGGCGCGCACGCTCGGCGCACGCGTGTGACATTCAGATAAAACGCGCTGCTACACTGCTGCACCGCCTTCCTCTCGCGCGACGCGGCGACACATTGTGTCCAGCACAAAGGCGGTGCGGCGTATCGCTCCCCGGCAAGCAAATACCGCCGCCAATATGCGCCGCCCGGCCGGACACATCTGCTAAAGCGCTAAAGCGCTCCGCCGGGGGTGGGAGTCGAACCCGCCCCCGCCGCCCCGGGCCAGTCCGCCTTGTCCGCCTTGTCCGGCTAGTCGGGCCCGGCGGCGGGGAGGGTGGCAGGGCGCGGTGATAAGACGGAACCAACCCTTCCAGCCGCTTCCAGCCCTCCGAGGCTCGGCCAGCCTCGGCCTGCATCATGTCCCCCATCGCGGCCGGCGCGCCGGCGCACTGATTCCCCGAGTGTTTTATGTGTCCCGTTCCTCTTGCGCGGTCCGGCGACACTCTTCTCACTCCATCATTTATAAGTAACTGGCCGGTCCGACCGGACGGCGAGAGCGGGAAAGGGGTGGGAAATCACTTGTCCGGCCGGGCGGCTTTGCGGATGGAAGCGAGGGGGCGGGGCTGGGCGGAGCGCCGGGTGGAGGCCTTTGGTACTTGAATTACAATGCTCGCACTTCAGGAGATAGCACACTTTTCAATGGAAAAAGGTCAATTTTTAGCCGCAGCTGAAAAGAAACCCTTCCGGATTTTCAAGTTACGTAGCAACATTTTGGAAGGTGGGTGAGGTCTTTTTTGAAAGATACGCACAGGCAAACCGAAAGACTCCAGCGAGGACATGGAGGGCCTGGCGGGTGGAACGCACGGCGCAGCGCAGCCTCCCCTTCCTCGGCCAAGGCGGCCAATCTAGCGCGGCGCTTTAACTGGATTTGAATGGGGTGCGCGGGGTGCGTCCATGTGCGTCATGGTGGCCTGTTGCCGCCCTGCATGCCGGCATGCGCCCCCTGCGTCGCCGGCGTCGCTGGATGGGCGGCTCCCGCGAACAGTACACTCCCGCCAAAAAAGCCTTTCAATTTTTTTGGTGCGGGTGCCGCGCTACGCGCTAATCCCTGCGCCGCCAGCTAGAGCCGGCCGCCCCGCTCGCTTGATGGATGATTGCCTGATTGATAGATTGATTATTCCGTGGCCCCGATTGGCTGGAGCGGCTGGAGCTGGAGCGACTGGAGCGCGTCAATCCGTTTTAAAGAAATTAATGGAGCCCTGCCTCGCCCTGCTGGCGGTGGCGGCGCAGGCCAATGCGACACGCCGTACGACGCCCTCACTTTTCACGGCCAAATTTGGGAAGCCCCGGATGGTGGATGGGACGGCGATTTTGTTCTAAAACATCGACAGACTAAAGTGCGGTAGCTGCCCCGACTCGACACGCCCCGGAGCCGAAGTGTTCACTGCGAGAAAAAAGTACGGAAAAAGTACGGAACATGTCTGATCAATAATTTGCCTGGACCGTCCGTACTTGCCAACTACGGAACGTTCCGTACTTTTTTCCGTACCCATTTACATGGGTTCATTATGGAGCAAGTACGGAACGTTCCGTACTTTTCTCCGTACCTCCGTACTATATTTTTCTGTATCATTTCCGTACAAAAGTACGGAATTTTTCACAGTGTTGAAATGCGAACTATTTGGAGGCATGTGTTTTTTTTTTTTTTTTTTTTTTTTTGCACGGTCCACCGGCCTGCAGCGACTCCCACGCCCACGCCTCAGCCGAAAATCCCAGTGTGCCGCCTGGTTGTCAAAACACGCACAGATTCCTCGCCCTCTAAAGGGATTTGAGAATCAGCAGGCTCCCGCCCGGGGCCGCCCGGGGCCTCGCGAAGGGAAAGGCCTTCCGGAATTCGGGCTCTCGAGAGTGACTAGGAGTGACTCGAGGAGCAGGGTGGCCTGGCCGTGGCCTGGCCGTGGTCACCCCAAACG